TGTCTATGGAAGAATACATGCCTATAAAACGACCCGGTGGTGCTAATTCAGTCAGAAAGGCCTTCTGTAGACTGTGCTCTTTTACAACCATTCCAGACACGTTACTGTGACATTTTGTGTTTGATATTACATTTGTACATAGGCATGCATTTAAGGGATGAATTATACGTGTACCTGTGGAGACAAACAACTACCTTCGGACATGTGACAAGTTCTCGTGACATATGTACTGAAGCATTCCTTATTCGCATTGGGCAGTGTATAGATGGGCATCTGTTGATATGTAGAGATGCAAATAACACGTAGCTATACGCTTTATCGCCTGGTTGCATAACGTCTATTTTACACATATCTGTACGTTTGTATGTGTACACGTAAATATATATATATATATATGTATGTATGTATGTATATATACCCAAGTATTGTTGACACATTGTTCTTCTTTTTTACCCCTAAACCCTGAACCCTAATAATATTGACACACGTATTGTTTGAATGCTTGACCCCCAGGTGCTGGATATGTGTGCGAGAGGCACCTCTCATAACGTAGATATGTTAGTAGGCGATATTTACGCAGGAGACTATGGAAAGGTATGTTGTGGTTTAAAAACGCCTTACACATGTGTGTGTGTATTTGTTTCATAGAGGTGTGTTGTAGTTTATATCATCCTTACACATGTATGTGTATGTATTTGTTTCATAGAGCTGTGTTGTAATCTATATCGTCCTTACATATGTTTGTATATGTATATATTATATAGATGTGTGTTTTAGTCTATATGGGCCTTACATAGGTTTGAGTATGTTTATATTATATAGATGTATGTTTAAGTCCATATAGGCTTTACATAGGTTTGAGAATGTGTACATTACATAGAGGCATGTTGTAGTCTATTTTGGCCGTACATATGTGTGTATATGTACACATCAACCGATATACACTCAAACATCTGTGCTGCGGCAAACTATATCACACATACAAAATCAAATCTCTAAACCTTATCCTTGATATGTGTCTGTATATAATATGCGGGTGTGTTCCATGAATGATTGTATATGGCATGACTCATATATTCGAGTGTGTGCGACGAGCGTAGATCTGCGCCAAACATATCAAGCTTTCACTGTCGTGCCAAGTATACCTTAGCCACCTTATCTGTGCGCACGCGCGTGTTACTTGTCTGTCGCTTCTTGTTCTCCACGCTTCGATATAT